TGATCTGCCGGAAACATTGGTACCGCTGGGCAACACCCTTGAGGAGGACGAGAATGGGAATCGCTGATATCTATGTATTACGTAAGCACCTTAGAGTATCTGCTCATCTAATTCGATATCATCCATCTGAGTACTTGACAAACATATGGAGGAAAGTGAGGCCTCGAATATGTTATCTGCGGACGCATAAGTCGGTTTCTTTGGAGCGAGAAGGCCGTTTCGGAGCCCTGATCGGTTGATGGAGATGATTGATAAGATAACAAGCTGATGGCTCCTTTATTCTCGAATCCCAGTCTTTATTCATTCATTGCCGCCCCGCATCGATTCAATTCCAAAAACAATGATGTCACAGGCCCATTTCAAACTTATGTAGCGCATATGTCTCCTTCTTTCTGGACTTCTTTCTCGCGAAAGACGGAATCTGAGTATTATCACTCTGGCCTCTTGACTTAGATCAAGTCAGTAATCTATCCCACCGGGGGATCACACATAACACGGCCCATAAAGAATAAATTATATTCCATATATCGTGACCCCAAAAAGAAGCTGACCTGATATGTCACATATCAGTGCAAAAACGACCTGATACCACAGATATCGGGTGCCGGGTATGATCCGGGTGCCCGATATGTCACATATTAGATCCCTTCATTTTTTATGCCCCAATATATAGAATATAATTGATTCTTTATGGGCCGTGATATTCGCAATCCCTCGGTGTGTATTGTGAGGAACTACACTCTCTCATTTTGGCATCCGAAACACCTCGTAATTGCCCCAAATGGCCGCCAGTTGCCTCATCACTGAACCGACTGCGGGCTCCCTCAACCACGCTTCAAAAATTTCGTCCCCAGCGAGGGTTCTGGAAAGTGGAAAAGATCTGGATTGGTCGCCGCGCACTGCACGCCCCAAGTGCTGTTGGGCAGTGGCTGTGCTGAGAACAGACAGCTATTCGGTGCCCGGGAGCCGGCCTCGGTGATCGCCGATTCCGCCGCCCACTCAATTTTGTCATTCAGATCATTCACCTACAACCTGCTCGACTGCTATGAATCGCCCCGAATCCTAGTCACAGCACGCGTTGGAGAAGACCGCTTTCTTCAATTGGTTTCGAGGATACGCGCTCGATGATACGCCTGCCATGAAGAGTGCGGGAAAAGCACCAGCACAGACATGACCGGACACCTTAGAGATGCTGTCATGAGTGGGACAGCCCCAGATCTCGCCCGTCCACTCTCCGATCCTCACCTTCTCACGCTCAATCTTGCGGTGCTCGCGATATGTCCGGTGGCAGAAGTGAACGCACAGACAATGCGGTGGTCATACGTCCCTCGGACTAGTCTGGATTCATGGGTGGGTCGTCAGGTCTTCTTCACTCCGCCGGATCTGACCACGGACGCATGACAGCGATTTTCTTGGGCCGTCCTACTTTTCGCCGGACCAATCGAGCCCAGTATCTCTATTCCGTCGCTCCCGATCATCCATGCCGCTTTCTTGATATCGTCGCCATCAGCAGCACCTGTGTGCTGGCACTTTGGATAGTCTTGGGAGGATCCCACAGCGTGTCGGCGGATCCGAGCACCAGTGCAAATAGCATCTCTCTGTTCAGAACAGGTTTCCGCAGTCCTTCCTTCCTTCGCCTTCCCCGCGCTCCTCTCGCCAGCGCTCGCAGGCATGCTCTTGCGAATATCCGCGATCTGAAGGGATGGATCAGCCACATCACACCCATCGAATCATCGGTAGGCGCTGGGCGCAGCTGCCGAGTTGTGCTGGTCTATCTGCGGCTCGTCAGTGTATCGCAGTACATGCGAGCCCAGTCGACGGCGGGATGGACAATCGGCCGCTGCCTCCATGCGGGTCGCCATTCGTTTGAAGATGAGCACTAGCAGGGCGGAAGACGCAGCGCGACGGTGTGTCAGACCTTGAAGTCTGCAGCTTCAAGCGGACGTTGGCGAACCGAGGTTTCATGATGTAACCCGCGACCAATCTGGTATAGCTGAGGTTACGGCGAGGGACTCTGCCTACTCGAGAGACGCATGTAGCCGGGGGTGGAGGGCAGATGTGTTGGGCGCCGGGCGGGTGCGACCCATCTTATGTCTGCGACGGTGTGCTTTCGCTGACCATAGAATAGCACGTCGCCATAGATGATATCCGCCTTGTCGACATATGCCTCGCATCTCACAGCGTTAACCTGGAGGAGCGAGCCCGCTGTGTGCTGCCAAAGCGATGCCGGTGAGTGCTGCTTCCTCTCAGGCTGCGCCCGCCTTTTCGGGACGTTTCCTCATTACGCTCGTTCACTCTTCTGCGGCTCTTGCTCACTCTTTTGTACAGCTTGTCACAGAGAAGATGCGGGTTCGTTACTCAGTTCGTATCAGCTTCTACGGATACAATTAGAAAGCGGTGCGTTACATCTGACACAAAGTCACAACACGGAAATGACTACATATTACACAGCGCAATCGCGCTCAGAAGACGGGAGAAGAGATGTCCGCTCAGCATATGGTGCCTGCGTCTACACCAGATGGACCTGCCAATAGCGATCGTGTTGGCCGACCTGCCGATGTAAACCAGCCAACACCGTCTTCCCTAGCAAGTGGTCGACGATCCGCGCCCCACCTCCGCCCTGCGCGATAATGCGCTGCCGGGCGTACGGCAAGGCTTCCGCGGGTGTGCCTCCGCCATCTGGTTTGCGCAGCTCAGCGTGCACGGCGGTCAGGACGTCGCCTACCGTCACTGCCGCGCCCGCCGCCTTGCAGGACCGCACCTCGATCTTGGCGCGGACGAGCCCCGTGTCGAGGCGCAGGAATAGGGCCGTGGTTGGTGGGGAGCAGGCTGGGGTGTCGAGCAGCGCTTGGTGCGGCCCGAGGGTGCCGCGGAATGTGCTGGACGGGAGCGACATGTCGAGGCGCAGTACAGCAAAGTGCGGGCTCGCGGTAGCCTCTTGCTCGTTGCTGTCGCTGGCATCCTCGTCGACGTCAGGAAGTGGAATTGGGAGCGAGATGAGTGGTGTCGGTGGTGTAGACGCGATCGGCTGGTAGATGGGTGGGGGACTGGTCGGCTGGTAGATTGGAGGAGGGCCAGAGAAGCCCCGTCTCGGTGGAGAAGAGGACGACTGCCAGGAGGAAGACGACCCCGCGGAGCTCTGGCGTGTATGGCCCGCGCTGAACTCCTCTACGACGGGACTCCAGTGGACTTGTTTGCGGTCAGGGCTAGGTGGCATCGCGCTTCTGAGGAGAGAGGATGTTGGTGGTGGTGGTGGTGGTGAAGGAATAAGAGTCCAGCTCTCCACAGCATCGAGCGACGATAAGCGCCCGGAGCGGCTGCGAGCTGTGTCGGGTCCCATCCAATCTCGAATCACTGCGCTCCAAATTCAGTCGCCTGTCTGCTTGGGCCCTGGAACGGAATGGGAAACTGACCATCAACCACACCCCCTTGTTCTGTTGCGTGGTTGTTGATGCTGGGTTCCGGTCCCAAGACAATACGGGGAAGGAAACTGGACTTCGGTCCCGAGGGCGGAACCCTTCAAGCCTCCGTTGATCTGATGATATGTTGCGGGTCGCCCTAAATAGGGAACTCTGGCGTGGTGCTTGGACCGGGCAGTCGACGGGATGCGAGGTCGGTGAAGATTCGAATCGTCGTTTCTATCACATCTGGGTTCGCTGGGCCCACAGTCGCATTGGCTATTCCCGTCCCTGTTGAGACAGCTTCGAGGGCGGAAGGGGACGGCGCTAGTTCTTGATTCACGCTAACGCCTTGACATTGCTCTGCCTCTTATGCTTGGGCACAGGCGGAGCTGCACCGCCCGCCGTCAGTCACCGTGAGTCGTCATTACGCTGCATTGCATCAGACATTGTGGCGCGTCGTATGAAGCATTGGCTGGCGTTGCCAGTGGTAGGGATTTCCTGATGAACGTTGCACGAGGCTGTTCCATCACAACAAATCGTTGCTGTGCGCCCTTGCACAGCACAGTGGCGGGCGCATCTGATGGATGACGAAGCAATGATGCGAGGACCGACGATCGGTACATCTGATCAAGCAACTTATCTTGATGTCAACCACTTGTTTCCATAATAACATTTGTGTGGATCGTCCGCATGTGGACATGTACCCAGGAGCCCATAAATAGTTAAATGCGTGTACAAGGTTGGTGCTATAGGCAGGGGGGAATCTAGAGGACCGCATATATTCTGCGTAATGTGCTGTCCAGTGCATTCGAAGCAGCATCGACCGGAGCTGGCAAGAATTGCTGCGCGCAACGGCAAAATCTGCGTTTTCTTTGAGCTCCTTTCTCAAAACACTTGGGTAAAAGGTCGTGCTCACCATCCCGCTTGCCGCGAGTCATGGAGGGCGTGGCAGAGGAAGATTATGCTTTCTCAACCACGACAAATCGGACGCCACTGCGGTGATCACCCCAATCAACCCTTGCGGGTTTCCTGTTTGGCGACGGCGCAAGTGTAGTTTTCACCGCAACCTCGTTGATTTCTGGTGAGGGCAGGTGGGGAAATGCTCGGCGTTGCCTGCAAGTGATCTCCTTCATCTTCGAGCTGAATCTACTGCGCTTCAAGCCTAGGGAGAAAATCTCAGCTCGGCCGAGTCTGAGAGGTAAGAAGAGGGGGAGGGCTGACCAGATGTGCGCACGAGCACTTCGTAATAGTCGACGCCCCTTACGCCCTGCTTCTGGTACATGGGCTCGAGCTCGAGCTCGAGCTCGTCGGCATCACCGCGCAGCGTGGAAGTCTCAGAAACATCGGAGTCGCGGCGGCGACGAGAAGTCTGCCGCTTGAGAATGGGCCGCACCGAGGCACGGTCGCGCCGGCGGTGGGTAGTGCTCAGAATGATGGGAGCCCGAGGGCGCACCCAAGGTTTGGGGGCAGGAGTGGATTTACGGAAGACACCCAGAGTGGCTTGGAGGAGTGGCTGTCTCGATTTCAACGCAGTCGGGGCAGCAGCAGCGCGGGCACGGCTTGGATGAGACATCGTTGTGGTGAGTGGTAGAGGGTGTGTGTTGCTGGATTCCTGGCCTCGTCGAATTTATACGCAAACTTTCGCTAGTGTCTGAGATGATCGGGCGCGCGGGAATGCATAGCCGCATCCGCGTTTTTGGGAGGGGCGGATTGAGACACACAGGTTTATGGGGCTGTTGGAGTCCAAATGAATCCAGAGGGAGTACTAGGCTCACTCGGTTTCCACACTGGGAGCCAACATGCATGCACCAGCCAGTAACGCCAAGACGTCTTTCTTCAGCGGCTTTTGTGCCAGTTGGCGCAACAGTCACAAAGCACGTTCCGTGGATGCGTAGTGAAACAGGGGGGCATCATTTCCCTCTAGTGTTTAGGACCGAAGGATTTGAGACACTGGGGAACTTTTCACAAGCGGTTGGAGGGATTCATTGAGAGAAATTGTTGGTCGTGGATCGCAACTGCCCGCCGATACCGTTGGAATAGCAATTGAATGCATCATTAGATCACTGATCCAGTGATCAGGAAGCTTTGTCAGCACATCATGCTTCTGACTGCTGCACTCCTCGCGGCGCATGTTGCCCGTCGGGTCAATGTGCTCGTGCTCATCATCTAATGCAATTCCCACTACGCTACCCCACGCGCCCAAAACGCATGCGAGCATCCATCCATGCAGATAACGATACGGGCACCGGTCTACACGAACGCGTCACAGATCCTTGTTTTCGCTTGCCAGTGAGGACGACATCTAGACAGGCAGTTAGACGACTATGGGAGCCGGCCTGACGGAGTCAACAGCACACCTCATGTCTCTTTCGTATGGGGGGAACGTGGGGCGGGGGTAGAGAGTCGACTCTGCCGTCTTTCAGACCGGGAAATGCGGAGATCTTCGAGAGGCATGTTTGTTCGCCGCACCGACCTTCTTGGCCGACGCCGTGACTCATTACGAGATGAGCATGTGTCCTCAGATGGAAAGATGCATGAGTTGTCCATGGCCTGAGGTGCGGCGTGTGTCTGGCACCGGGACTGCACTAAACATTCACGGTACGCTTTCTTCGAGTTTCGTTCCAGTCACTGGGTAACTTGGCATGGTCTTGAGCAGGGACATGCGTAGCATCACCTACCCAGCACCGATATCGGCCTGCTCCGCCTCCACTCTCGCCCAGCAGACGTTGCCAGAAACAGCAGCGGCGCATACACGGGTGCCATTCCCGCCTCGTTCGGTCGGTCCTGTGTGATCGTGCACCTTCGTTCATGTGATGAAGGTGGCGTCGTCGGTCACTACATGAAGATTTCCGCGAGTACTGTCGAATCTAAGGAATGGGCGGAGCGGACTCGCGACGGCCAGCTGCTCACAGTCTCCCCTGCCATCCGAGAAACATCGGCCAGGTCTGCCTGGTGATCTCCGACACACCGTCAGCCTTGTGTTGAGTGTGCTGAGAAGCACACGGGAATGGGTATGGGCGCGGTGACTGACGAAAAGCGCTTGGCGGAGATGAGGCTGCTTTACGCTGAGGTCCGTGCCCATCATCTCCTGCTTCTTTCTGTCTCCTCATCCATATGGATAGAGCCATGACACCTCGGTCTTCCATTACAAGCTGCATCAGTGCGGCTACGTGATGTACGAAATGCCGATTCTGCAGGCTGCCAAGGTGGTCTGGGCTACCGAGTGCAGCTATCGAGCAGTTCGGCCTAGATATGGACATCAGCGCGAGTTTCCGGTTGGCTGGTGCAGCGTGGGTCGGCTGCAGGCAAGGGATGACCTGTGTGTGATGAGATGTGTTGTTGGGTGGCTTAGGGTGCGTGCTCGAGTTTCCGCCTTGCTTATACATGTGTGTCCTGACGAGATGAGAAGGCACCGCGACCAGGGCTCCAGCTATCTTCCGACGGGTGGTTCTGTTCCTACCGTGTGCCAGGCCAATGAGCTCGCAGCGGGTGGTGAAGCGCCAGATAGCCGGGCGTCGTGCTTGTCTTGCTTCGCCCAAAATGGAAATGCATCCTTCTGGAGACGCGCTCCCATCCTGCTCGTCGACTTCTTTCTCGCGATTTGCGGACTCTTTCGTTGGGATGGACGCGAGTGCGGGGCGCCGCTATGTCCGGCTACTCTCTGCTATCCTGGACACGATACTGAAGAGTGATACAAAAGCAATACATGACTGAATAATCATCTTTCGTAGCGCGCCAGCGCGCATACGATACATATACATATCTATCTATCTGCACGATCCGTGGCGGGCTTGCTCTCCCCGTATCATACGAACATTCCAGTGCCCCTCCCCCCGATACAAGCCCGCGAACCACGTCTGGCCCAGCAAGTGGTCGACCATCCGGGCCCTGCCTGATCTCTCGACCGCCATTCGCTGCCGGGTGTACGCCAGAGCGTCAGAGGGCGTAGATCCGCCGTCTGGTCTGCGCAGCTCGGCGTGCAGCGTGGTCAAGACGTCGCCGATCGTGACTGCTGCTCCCGCCTGCCGGTGGGATCTGACCTCGATCTTGGCTCGAAAGTGCCCAACATCGACGCGGAGGAACAGGGCGTCTGTTTGTGGGAAGCAGGCTGGAGTGTCGAGCAGAGCTTGGTATCGCCCTAACCTCAGGCGGAGCTCTTCGGATGAGATGGATAGGTCGAGGGGCATTGGTGCAGCGAGCCATGGGTGGATGTTGGTCTCGCTCTCATCGCCTCTGGTAGGAGATGGAAGTGGGATCGACGGAATAACTGGTGTGGGTGGCATCCCCGGCCACCCCTTGAGATTGTCCGTGGCATAGTGCTGCTGGTAGAAAGTAAAGCTATCCCGTTGTGACGGCGCGGACTCCCGGTACGATGGCCCTGCAGAGCTGTGACCTGCGTGGCTGGCGCCAAACTCCTCCACACGCTGGTTCCACTGCACGTGTCTGGTGTCTTGGCTGTGCATTCTCTTTTTAGTTACAATCAAGAGGGCAGATAGGATGACAAGGGCTGTCAGAGGGGATTGTGTTCGTCTCAGTGTTGAGTAGAACGCAGCAGGGCGCCGTCCCCATTTAAGCCTGGAGAACAAGCGCCTGCAAGCGCCTACGACCTGTGTCGGGGCTCATGCAACCCCGACTCGCCGTGCTCCACGTTTCGTCATGTGTGGGACGCTACCGTATATAGTGCTGAGAATGGTTTCACAGAATGTTCATCATTCTATCCTCTCGACATGCAACACCGCAAAAGTGTCATGCCACAAATCAATATACAGCTCTCATCCTCAATCGAGGTGAGCGCAGCAAATGGAAAACCCGGGAATGGTGTTGTTATTCCAGACAACACAAACCGAAGGATTTTATTCGCGTGCAACGAATGTGAGATTTTGATGATCTCTTAATAGCTGGACGTCCGGCGAAGTGATTGCACCGACGGGAAGCGCCGAGTTGTGCTCGTGCTTCGCAGCGACAGCGCGCAGGGTTCTCAACAGACAAGCGCTGATCCTTTCTTCCTGTTCGAGCTCCAACATGCTCCCAATATATCTCATCCAGCGGGAACCTGACGCGCTTGTGAGTGATAGATAGATTTTGAATTCACGAAAAACGAGGCTGTTCCGCTAGGAATGTATGGGAAGCATCCAGGCCTCGTGTTCTAGCCAGATGAGGTTCCTGGATCCAGTCTTCTCTTTCTCACCGGAGCTAGCCGAAAACACCGGAAAGTCACCGCCCTTTGGCGCGTATGCTCATTCGCGGCGCTTCCACTGGAACGATCCGGGACACGGTGCTGGGTGGGGGGGTACTGATCCCTGGACGAGGGGTAGGATAACACCTATTAATACTCTACAGTGCGTGAGATACAGCCGAAGCTACTCTCAGCAAGCAATGTGATCGATAAAAAGCTATTGGAGGGCTATCACAGCACTTCAGGCCCAATGATCAGCAGTGGGAAGATCGGCTGCTGACGTCATTGCTGGAAAATCTTGCAATCGGCCTGATTGGCATCTCCGATCAGGCGCTTTCAATCCGACGAGATGCAGTCTGATGCAGTGGCTGGAGGCGCAATCTGCCCGGCCAATGAATCCGAGCAACGGAGGACAGAGCAAAGCGAGCAAAATTTGATAGGTTATGCGCCCGCTTGGCTGTTCTGATTATGGGTTAGTGCTGAAAGTCCTCTCCTCCGATAGCTCTCTTCTTGTTCTATTGTTGTCTAGCTCGTTGTTTCTGCCTGACGCGGATTAGACAAGAGCGATCGATAAATCGTAAGGGATCACAATAGTCGTCTTCAATAATTGCGATACGAACCCCAGATATCCTATCAAGGAGGGGAGCCTCAGCTTATTGTTTGCGTCCGCGGTATATAGCAGCCAGCGGAATTAACTCCTTGCAATCTATAACTCGGATTCCCTCTCTCTCCGACCCCATGCCTCCGACACTGGAAATCCTGACGATCATCGCGGACGGGCTTCGCGGTGTGCGACTGGACTTTGGCGTGAACGTCAACTTCGAGGACCGCTACCACCTCGTGCGCATAGAGCTCATCCGGATGACATTCGCGCTCGAGAAGCAGCGGCGCGAGTGGCTGCCCGCGGAGCGGCGGGAGGTGTTTCGTAAGGAGTATTCTAGGTGCGCTTTGATGCGGTAGGTCCGGCCCCCATGCTGGCCTACTCGTCCATCACAAGTGATCTGACGCCGAGGATTCCTTCACAGGATTTCTCGCGACTTGTCGGACTGGCGCCAGCGAAGGCCGTCCGCGTCGTTTGGCGGTGCGCGGGCGAGGAGGGCTGAGGCGAAGCGAATGTTCCACCAAGCGCGTGATTTGCGGATGCAGGTGGAGAGGGAAGTCATGGATGCATTGTGGAGGCAGCAGCAGCAGCAGCAATTGGCATCACGGTCTAGTGTAGAAACAGAACACTCATCCATTCCTTTATAGATCTTCCTCGATATGCTCATCTTGTATTCGTTTCGTCGTCTGCTTCATTTCGTACAGTGTGCGATTGACATTTGCATCATTATTATCCACCGCATTGAAATAAGAATGTCCCCCAGGCTGAGAGGGAAAGGAATTGAATTAAAATTTGCTCAAAATACCAAGGAAAGTTCCAAATTGATCCGAGTTCCGATATACTCGAGTACTTCGATCCAACACGACACAAATCAATAGACAGCTTGCGATCAGCCGCTAATCGCCGCCCGGCGGCTCCAATGGCATGCGATGCGGGCGGCTGCGTCATTTGTGGCGGCTGTCAACGCGGTGGTTCGACTGGCATGTGCATCGTCACAACTCTTCCTCTGACCACATAACTCACATACTAAACTACTTGTTGTACCCACTACAAGCCTTTACTACAATGCCAGTCACAACGCGCCGAATGGCAGGCAGTGCCAATCCCACTGCCCCAAAGACCACCGGAGAAGAGCAACGCGCATCGGTTGAGCGCGAAAGCACTGTTCAGCCAACCGAAGGGTCCGACGGACGCAAATACAGTCCCGAATGGACATCCTTCCGTGCCGACTCTGACATTGGAGAGGGAGGAGATGAGGAGGATGATGAGGATGATGAGGATGTAGCCACTCGCCCGCCCTGTCGACCTTGTGTAGGAGCTTCTTCGGGGAAGACTTCGTCCCATTGTTGGGTAATGGCCTTCAGCAGTGCCGTAAAATGAATACGATGCTCAAGCAGCAGTTCCTCTGCCTCCATGGAACCAAATGTGAGTGAAGGAAAGATAAAATGAGCGCGATGTCACTCCTGCCATCAGCCGCCCCAAATGACGTAGCCGCCCGCATCGCATGCCATTGGAGCCGCCGGGCGGCGATTGGCGGCTGATCGCAAGCTGTCTAATGCTTAGATAGCCGATTTGGTAGCGCAGATCGGCCTCTTGGGGATAACTGGTCTACCGTGGGATAGCTGGGGGCCTGGAGGTCGTCGAAACGGAAGGCTGTTCGAGGTCCAATGCCAACATTCCGGGCATAGTGTTATGTTCTTCCACATTCGCAAGTGATAGAGTTTTCCATCTGGAGCTGTACCTGCTACATAAGCTAGCTAAATGTCCCGCCAGGGGCATCTGTTCGCACGGAAATAAGTCAACGCGCACTCGGTGTCATCGCAAACATCTCCAACGACCTTCCTCGTGCCCTCGATCTTTCTCCAACGGAGCCATGCGTTCAACGCTGCGGCTCAGAATTCAACTAGCGGCGTGCAGCGAGTTGAGCATATCCGGGATCGCGTCGTTCTCGCGGGGATTTCCCAGATCCTGGACAATCCCGCGCGTGGCCTGGCCCTTTCCGTTGCTGTACATCACGACATCGCCGTCCTCCTCGATGTAGCAGCAGTTTGTGAAAGAGCGGTACAGCGCGTAGAACGTGTTCTTGGTGATATAAATATCAGCAATGGAATTCCGATCGACTTGAATTTTTGAACCCACCGTGCTATCCTCGTTGTAGTGCTCCCCGAGCACAGCCTTGATGCGCTTGGTCACCTCAGGTTGGTTGTCTAGACGAAAATTGATTAGCACGGAAATTTCCGCTTCTGAATGGCAGCGTACAGTAAGGAATGGAACTGAAAAGATGGTGGCCAACGTGGTCGTGCGAGACCTGTTTTCGGAGTCAATAATACTCATCCACAAAAGGAAATAACCACAGCAAACACTAACATTATGCAGACACATTCGCCCGATAAAGCCAAGCAACGGTCGATCGACGGTGGCGAGCGATCCACGCAGGAAGGTCCATTGCCCCCTGCGGTAGTGGGGCAGCGTCGGGTCAGAGTGCTGCAGGTATGTCATCATAACAACCCAGTGGTGGCAAAGCTTCCGGGCGATCAGAACACTCAGAGACTGCTGGATGGCGCAAGACAAACCAGATACGGGATGATCAACTGTTTGAATAGGCTCGCAGCACCGACCTGAACGCCGTACTTCATGACAATCGATAAAACGACCACGATTCCAGCGTCCGAGAGCACGATGTTCCAGAAATCTTCGGGCTTGAATAACGCGGAGTACGGCGAGAAGTGCTGTTGGAATCGTGAGTATCACAACGAGCAACAGCCATTCATGACTCGCGTTGGTGCCAGGTGGGTCTTGGGGCGACCCGAGAGCGTTGAACAGCAGATATGCCTGGTAGCCCAGCAGTTGCATGATAAGCATGCGGACGAGCGTGTAAAGGGGCGTCTCCTCGAACATCTCATGCAGCTGCTCCATCGTCGTGATTCCAAGTTGGGATTTTGTCCGGGGCACGTAGATGTCGTCACGTTCGACCGAGCCCACACCTTTCTGAAATATAGTATCAGCTAACACATGCTGCAACGACATATGTGGACGGCGGCTCACGTGATGCGCATGGTGGGACTGCTTCCAGGCAAAGTACGGGGTCAAGAGCGCGGTGTGCAAAATGAATCCCACGGTGTCGTTGACGATGCCGTACGGGGAGATATTGTGATGGCCGGCCTCGTGTCCTGATCACGATTCCGGCGACGGTCGGTATAGCGCGAAGGAAGTAAAGGGTAGCACGAACCCAGACACCAGCAACCGGCCATGACAATGCTTTGTGCGCCCCAGTAAGCGGACCACAGCGACCATTTCAGTACCGAGGCGATGCCCGGCGTCAGCTCGCGCGCTACGGCGACCTGGGCTGCGAACGCGTCGATCCGTCGGCTGAGGGCGAAAAGAGTGACGAAGCAAACGACGTCCTGGACGACGCTGGTCATCCCGCGGAACGTCGACTTGCGGAAAAGCTCGGAGGGAATCACCGCGCGCAGCTCCTTCCATGTTATCTTCCCTCTCGGAGTCAGCGACCAGTTGGTGCGTGCGCAGGGGCTGCTTACGGTGGGCGGTGAGAAAGGCGTGTCCCGCCTCTTGATATACTCCGGACTCTCGCTAAACATGGTTAGTGGGTGGGTGGTATACTTTAAAATGAATTGGGGAGACGACAAGAGCGAAACGAGTGAATGCCGGCCCTCGAAAAATGTGCCGCGGTGCTCTAAGACCATCGTGATTCATCTCACGGCAGATCTCGCGACTGGCTTATCCCTGACATGGAGCCGGTCCCCCCGCAGTAGCGTGTGCACTCTGCAGCGCCAAATGGAGAACGTTATACGCCATGCCCTCGCTTCATGATCAATCCGTCAGTCTCCACTGTACATGCTGATGAGAGCCCCAGAAGAATCAAAATAAATCACTGCTGAAACGAGGAAGAAATATTGGTAGATTCATCCAGTCAGACAACGAAGTGACAAGCGGGCCTGATATTACGGAGCGATCCCATTGCATCCTTCAGAATCAAGCTGCCCGTCCCGAATCGGAAATGTCTCCGCTTGCCAACCGTCGACTCGCGACAGCAACAAGATCCCGATCGGGACACCAATGAGTGGGACACTCTTCGTGAAGCCGCAATGCCTTCATGCACTCAGCTCACGCCGATTGAGCCAAAGTATCAAGTATCAACTTTTCGGGCCATTATTCACCCGTTATAATGTTTCAACTCCTTCAAACAACGAAATGAGGTACAATGTTGAACGAGGTGTTATCTTCTAGTGCTGCGTGGATGGCCTGACAAGAGACTGCGATAGACGATCACTATGATACGCCAAGCTTGCGTGGCATTCTCGTTGGACTGGTCGAGTCCAGATCTCGTCGCGCGGAGGAATCAACTGTCAGAACCTTGGAAAGGGTCAGACTCGGTAATGTCGGCTGCGCATGGCGCTTTGATCAACTTTGACCATGGAAGCTCGGTGCATCACCACTTTTAACTACCGAGCATCGGAATTCAACTCCGAGCGATCGACTGAAGATTCACAAATGTCGTAAAGGGACCGGAGACTCTTCCGCGTGTCTGCTTATGACTGACAAAATGACAACATGACGGAAAACCTTGAACCTTGACGTTGCACATATGACAAAATCAGATGGATCAAAGCTTGTTTTCAATGTGCATTACTCACGACAACGTATTAACCCACTGTGCACTCCCTCCGCTTTCAATATAGAGGTACCTTCTGAATTACCTTCTTTCGAGCTTGAAAAAATGTTGTAGTAGCATTGAGTGGTATCTGGGCACCCGGCATGTCTTGAGTGCTCCCACCCATCATTTGGCGGGCTTCGATTGGTGGATGCAGGCAGTAATTCCTTGTGCCCATGAAACCTGGGGACCTTCTGCCATGTGCATGGCCGGAGGATTTTTCGCGTTCTCGCGCCTAGACCCAATGGAGGAGTTTTCGAACAGATCATAGGATTTCGAAGGGGGAAGTGGTAGATGAGCTTTCTGTGTTTCACAGAAGAGCATACTTATATCAACCAGGTAAGCCCAATCACCATTTGTGCTATTGTGAAATCCTTTGTTTCTTTGACCGTTCTCCTCTGCTCTCAGGCTTCCATTTGCAGCGACTCATTCTCAAGCCAAGGAAATACCTCCTGCTCTCGAACTGCTCTCGAGCTGACAGAGCAAAGAGCGACCCTCGATGATCACTGAGCTACACTTTGAGCCACCGCTAGGCCCTGCCAATTGGCTATCTGGATCGAAGCACAGCGGCGCCCTCTGACCGTGTAATGACCGCCGTCGGGGATCATTTTGGGGTCACTGTCCTAGATCTTTTGCGGCATCGAAAACCGCGTTGTAGAGTACTCTGATGGACGCTTGGTTGGGCGATGAGAGACACAATTTTCAGGGCAGTTCGGCCAGGTGCGCAGCAGAAGCAGTTTGACTTTGTGGGTGGGGTATCGACGAATCATTTTGATTAGTATGAATTGTCCGTCAACGATGACAACACGGTCCGCCTCAAGCATGGCTGACACAACATAGCCGTTGTGATTGACGAGGACCAGGTAAACGACAATGATGTGAACGCTGTCTTGACTGATCTTTGGATATACCAATAGTTCATCTCTCTGTCAGCCAAGACTATTCTTCATCAGTTCTACCTTCACAAAACTGACAATGAGGGGCAATATATCCTGAGTCGAAATTCCCTCCTCTAGATTGCTCTCTGAGTCTAGCCCATGCCAGGTTTACTCCACCAATTGTCGCGGCTATGTTCGGACGCTCAACTCCTCTGACACGGATCTCGCATCTCGCATGTGTTTTCCCATCCACACTCCAGCTTCGTATCTGTAATTCTCGCAACCTATTTAGGTTGTCATGGCCCCGTTCAGGGGTCTGCCCTCCCAGTACTTCCGGTTCTCGCCGGTTGATGAGTTTGTTCTTGGTCTGGAGCATTTGCCTGCCACCTGTGGCACGGGTGTTCAGATATGGCACATAATAATCTTGTACGCACATGCATTGTAGGATACCCACGTATACTGTCTAGCTGATTGAGCCGTCCATCAGTGATGGACGGCCAAACAATGGGACACTCTTCTTCTCTCAACAAACCGTCTCAATGTCGTTCGATTCCTCAAAGCAACGTTGACCATACTTGACCGGGACCCGGCAGACCAGGTATAATCAGGTTGGATTAGGAGCTTATAATTCTCGAGGCCTGCCATTTAGTGGCAGGCTTCTGGTGAGCCTCACACTTGAGTTCCTCGAGTCCCGGGGCTGGGCCATAATACGAATATACTCTCCTAATTCTAATCTTCTCTGTAATTTCGGACTCCACCACGGTTTTCCAGTGGGAAATCCGACCTGCCGCGTTACACCACCACGGGTCCGCGTTTGTCCGCCGCTCCCTTATTCGATAAATATGACCCTTTCACTGCGGGAACATACCGCATCCATGATGGTTTGATCGGTGGCCTCGTGCGCAGCTACAAAGTCAACACGCACGCATACACCTCGGGCCGCTGTGATGACCCCGGGAACTATAGCGCGGTTTGTCTCTTTTGTTGAACTGTTCTGTCTCTCTCGCCTCGCTCATGCACCACGCACAGTGGGCCATTGTCGGCAGCTACTACGCGGGTTACGATATCATCAACGTCAGACTGGGCCTCCCGTTGGTGATGACTCAATTCAAGGTCCGCGGTTTCGTTTTGCCAGTACCCTCGGGCATGTACATCGCGCGCTGACGCCTGCACATGTAGAGCCTCGTGCCAGTCCTCCACATTATTCCTACCCGATTCCAGTTTGTCGCCCGCAGCTATGGCCGTGTCCCGGTTACTGCCGTCGCCGGCCAAGGGTTTGGGGTATTCACCGGAGCAACGATGCTGCGAATGCCTCGGTGGGTGGCAACACTTACATCGGGCGCATGCGTGCTTTCTCATTTCCAACTGCTGACAATCGGCATGACAGTTTGTGAAATTTTGCTCTTGCGGACTGCGTGCATCTCCAAGAAGATGCACCTCAGTTACCACCGCCATCACCCGGTTGCACCCCCGCGGGGGTCCTCCTGGGTACCCTCAGACGTAGCTCTGAGGGTACCTAACAGGTACCCCCCTGCGGGGCCCGCGGGGGGGATTTGGTCCATTTAGGGGCGGGGGCATATGCGGGGGTCAGCAGGGGGGGGTCTGTACATGTCATGTGATTTATCATTGGGAGCGGGCAGGTGGGCGCGAAAAAAAAATGAATCACATGACACATCCAATGGGCGGGATGGCGGCTGATGGCGGGGTAAAAAAATCACGTGATGCACCGCATGAAAATTATCAAAAATGGCTAGCAGGGGTTGGCGGGGGTTGGCGGGGGCGCTACTGGCCCCCCGCACACCATGGCGGGCAGTGGGCGCATTATCACGTGACTTTTGGGGCACCTTTTGTGCACCATTCGGCATGATTTCGGAGGTGTTGCTTGATCCATTGCATGCTGTGGCAGACAATGGGCGCATAATCACGTGATTTTCCGCCCAAAAAAATGGAAGCCTTCCCCAAATCATCCTGGTATCATTTCTATCGGTAAATACACTAGTTAAGCATGAATTTGAGCTTAGAAAGCCCAAAATGCACCCTGCACAATGGGACTGGTGATGCACTTGATCCCATCATTTGGCGGGGTCTGCTGCGGGGGGTGCCACGGGGGGTGCTGCGGGGGGTGCTGCGGGGGGTGCCGCAGGGGGTGCCGCAGGGGGTGCTGCAGGGCCCGCTGTGGGGTCAACCACAGGAGCAGGGGTAGGGGTGCATTGCATCATATTTTGATCTATCTATTCTCGCTGTGGTCATAGCATGCAGCATAATTATCCTTCATTTTGCCAGGAGTTTGGAGGCTGTGTCTGGGGTTGGTCTGCAGCTACAGCCATGTGACTCCCTGATGCTTCGGCAGGGGCTGGGATATCAAAACTGTGCAAATTTACCTAAATCTTTTGGCTTAGCTTGGGGCACTGATATATATGACTTGGTTCATTTTAGCATGGTCTGCTCAAGCTGTCAGGTCAAACTAAAAATTTGAAAAATGTGCAACTTGATTTGTTAGGCAAATCTCCCAAGTACATGCTCCAGGGACAGCCAACATCATCAACAAGAAATGGCTAATGTTTCTTTTCTCCGTCTGTTTGCTTCAGGTAGTCTGTCTGCACTCAAATTTTTCTCTCCATTTGCAGCATATTCCGTGGAGGTGTCATAATTGTTGATTTCCGGATTTCATACTTCTTGTCTACACACCATTTGGGCCCTTTACTGAATCCAATAATACTGTAGACTCTTACAATGGATTGAGCAGGACATTTGTCAATTAAATCCTTGCAGGGGTTGGGGGGGGTCAACCACAGGGGGTGCCGCGGGGGGTGCCACGGGGGGTGCCGTGGGGGTGCACAAGCATCTGCCAGCCTACCAAATGTGGATCAACTACAAAATCACTTTCCAAAGCTTCTGTACTGCAACCCAAGTGACTTCTAGGTAACCTTTACCCAATCCCAGTGAAACAACTTCACTGCTCTTGTTTCTGGGTGACAATTGATTTTATGAGCTTGAGTGTGTATGCACCCTTTTTAGGAGGAAATGAGGCCATGTGATGAGAGGTAGGGCACCGAAACATTGTAAAATACTATATTCAACATGACCGGTGGCCCATGTCTCTTCAAACCAGCCCATATCTCATGTTTATCAAGACCCTATTTTTCGGACTCATTTCAAGTTTTTGAATAGTTCCAGGGTCCAGGGCTCTCAGAATTTGTTTCAGACACTGCCAAAGAGTATATCATTCAGCTGTATTGAATTGCTTGTGTGTAGAAAAAATATTTTTTGCCATACCCAAAGTGAACCATGTTGAACCATTGTCTACATAGGAACCTTGAGCAATGGTGAACTCTTTTCATGTTTCGAATTTTAGGTGGACAAATGATATGAAGTATCTACATATTCAATAAGAATAGCAGAAGGAGACCTTATTCCGATGGTTTTCAGCTGCATAACTGTAGGAACAGTGTTAGAAGAGCAGTAAACACTTAGGTACGATGTTTATACAGGTTCTGATTGGCTAGTGACTTGACGTGTTCCGAGCTGTCAGTTTACATAATCTTACATATAAGAAAATCACGGGGACAAGGCACCGGTGCAGCGGGGGGTGCTAGACTGGCGGGGGTGCCAGCGGGGGTGCCGGCGGGGGTGCCAACAGGGGTGCCGGCGGGGGTGCCAATGGGGGTACCAGCAGGGGTGCAGGCAGTGGGTCATGGCAAGGATGTGTGCAGCCCCAGAGGTAGTAAAAGTGACCATCTATGTCTCTACAGTCTATCTTGCAAATATACGAGCTCTGAGTGCACAGAGTGTTGTATATGAAATTTGAAATTCAAATATTACCAATCTCTGACTATTGTGAGGCAACTTGCTGGTGAATCCATTGTCTCATATTCCACCTAGGAATCAATTCAGGGCATGTCAAATCCACTCTATTACATCTGTTCATGTTGCAACTAAAGCAAACTGCTTGTAAAGTAACACAGAACAGATGAACTTCAATGAGTCCCAGACAGGAAGTGTGACATTAGGTATGTAATTAATGTGTGGTATCATCCACTGGGTAAGATTAGACTGTGCCTACAGCATGATCAGCTTACCAATGGGCATGTGTATAGAATGAGCAGACGAAACAATCAATGAGTTGACAGTGGACCCGATGCAGCCCATGATGTCAGCCCACCTACCCTGCCAGCCAAAAAATGAACAAATCACACTTTCTTTTTAACCCTACATGCCTGGATTATGCAGACAATATTGCACAGTTTTGATATCCCAGCCCCTGCCGAAGCATCAGGGAGTCACATGGCTGTAGCTGCAGACCAACCCCAGACACAGCCTCCAAACTCCTGGCAAAATGAAGGATAATTATGCTGCATGCTATGACCACAGCGAGAATAGATAGATCAAAATATGATGCAATGCACCCCTACCCCTGCTCCTGTGGTTGACCCCACAGCGGGCCCTGCAGCACCCCCTGCGGCACCCCCTGCGGCACCCCCCGCAGCACCCCCCGCAGCACCCCCCGTGGCACCCCCCGCAGCAGACCCCGCCAAATGATGGGATCAAGTGCATCACCAGTCCCATTGTGCAGGGTGCATTTTGGGCTTTCTAAGCTCAAATTCATGCTTAACTAGTGTATTTACCGATAGAAATGATACCAGGATGATTTGGGGAAGGCTTCCATTTTTTTGGGCGGAAAATCACGTGATTATGCGCCCATTGTCTGCCACAGCATGCAATGGATCAAGCAACACCTCCGAAATCATGCCGAATGGTGCACAAAAGGTGCCCCAAAAGTCACGTGATAATGCGCCCACTGCCCGCCATGGTGTGCGGGGGGCCAGTAGCGCCCCCGCCAACCCCCGCCAACCCCTGCTAGCCATTTTTGATAATTTTCATGCGGTGCATCACGTGATTTTTTTACCCCGCCATCAGCCGCCATCCCGCCCATTGGATGTGTCATGTGATTCATTTTTTTTTCGCGCCCACCTGCCCGCTCCCAATGATAAATCACATGACATGTACAGACCCCCCCTGCTGACCCCCGCATATGCCCCCGCCCCCAAATGGACCAAATCCCCCCCGCGGGCCCCGCAGGGGGGTACCTGTTAGGTACCCTCAGAGCTACGTCTGAGGGTACCCAGGAGGACCCCTGCGGGGGTGCAACCGGGTGATGGCGGTGGTAACTGAGGTGAGAAGATGAATCTTAAACCACAAGACCAGTACGTACTTATATGAGCACTACCGCGGGAATTATTTTTTCGGCAGAATATACGTGACAATCCAGAAGTCCGCTTTTCATCATTCTCCTTACAGATCCTTTCCTCGTGCACTGGGGGGGAGACTTATTTTTTTTCCGTGGAAAATGCATGACAATCTAGAAGTCCGATTTTCACCGTTCTGTTTTCAGACAAAATATACATATTGAAAATAGACGTTGATTTACGGCTCAATTTTTAACACAAATAGACATCTATTCCTCCCGAAAACAGAACTGTAAATAGATCATCTTTTTTTAAATCAATTCTCACTGGGAATAGACGTTGATTTTCACTGAAAATAGAGACAAAGAAAAGATGATCTTTTTTCACTGAAAACAGATTGAAACCCCGGGAAGAATCTGTTGATTCTGGCCCCGATTCACATCACAAGTCCTGCAGCATGATTCCAACATGTTGTGAGTAGCATCCAGTAGCCTTTTGCAAGGCCAGGGATGCCAATTGGGGCCAGAATCTGTCAGGGGAACCCCTGCTTTCGTCCGATCATCCTGGGATCTTGCATGTGACCGTGCACGCGCCATCTGTCAGGCGTCACATGCTTCGGTCCGGACTTCCCTGCCAAGCGCATCCACATGACACTCGGGCCCGGATCCCCATTGTTCCGACGGTCCGGCTCCCATTGTTCTCCCCGATCCGGCCCCTCATTGTTCCCTGGCCCCATTGTCTGGCGCTTCCATTGTGCTTGGTCATCCATTGTTCTGTAGGCTATATATAGTGGGCCCTGACAAGGAGAGTCCCCAACTCGGTTTCTCTTTGGACTCTCCCTTGTCAGGTTTGCCAGTCTCCTGTACTAGTCGATCCCCTTATCTGACGCTTTGGACTCTCCCTTGTCAGGACTCTGAGATCGGGCCTCGAGGTTGCCCTTACAGCAGAAACCGAGTTCCTAGGGATAACTGGACAAGCTTGTGAAGACCGCTGATAGCGTCATACGCCTCTCACTTCCAATCTTGTCCCCTCCTCCCCCTCTACAATCATCATGTCCTACATGGAAGAAGAAGACCACGGGTCCTCCCCTGAGCAGCGACTTGGTAATCTAGAGGAAGCCATGCAGCGAATAGAGGGACTCCTCAACAACTTCATAATCGAACATCAACAGCCTGCCCCTGTCCCTGCCCCGTCTCCGGCAGTGGGTCCAGGTGTATTTACTGGCCAACAGGCCAGCTCGAGACCCTCATCCGCCCCAATCCCCCATTCGCGTTTGACGGAGATCGCACCCAGGGCAAGACGTTTCTCCATTCCGTCAAGCAGTACTGGCGCCTCCTCCCTGAGGCCTTCCATGTGAATGGGGTAGTATCAGAAGAGCGGGTGGTACGTTTCGCCCTCTCCTACATGTCCAAGGACTCGGCGGCCTCCTGGTCAGAACGCATGTCAGAGCGCCTCGTCTTCCCATTTCCGACCTGGTCCTCCTTTGTGGCTGAGTTCAAGCTCCGGTTTGTCGAGGAGAACGAGCAAGACCACGCCCTGGCACGACTGGAGACCCACGCTTACTACATGGGATCCCGCGACGTGTTCAAATACACGGACAAGTTCGACGACCTTCTCGACTTGGCGGGTTACTCTGACAACTTGGTCAAGGTCACCAAGTACCGGGCGGGTCTGGACCCCAGAATCAATCAGGCAATCACGACCTCCGGTAACCCGCCTAGCCTCACAAACTACTCGGAGTGGCGTACCCGCGCATTCCGCCAGTACAACGCCGAGGTGGCTGCCCGAGCTGCACGAGGACAGGTGTTCTCTCCATCCCGCGCTCCGCCTCCTGCGGCCCCCCCCCTCGCCCCGTGGCTGCTCCGGTGGTTGCTCCACCTCCTGCTCCCCGACCAGCCCCAGTAGTCCTCCCACCGGGCATTCCCATGGAGATCGACCGAACCAGAGCCCGCACCAGTGTTCGTCGCACCTGCTTCCGATGCGGCAGCCCAGGACACCTGGCCCGAGACTGCCCGACCCCCGCGGATGTCCGGCACGCTGACGTCCTGGACGAAGTGATCAATCAGCTGGGAAGCGACCTGTTGGCGGAATTAGTGGCCCGGCTAGCGACTACAGCGGCTGTAGAAGATCACGAAGCGGAGATTGCCGACGAGTTGGAGCAGGGTTTTCTCCCCCGCGACGAGTGAATAGTACGCCCCCGATCGCCTCACGTAATTGTTTTGAATGTCTGTATGATGAATGCGACCTCATTTCCCCCGCAAACAAAACGATAGACGTACCCCCTGCCCCTCGCTCTGTCCCGCTGGTCCGCAAGGAAAAGTGGGAACGAAAACTCCCTCAGCGCTACGTGGTCGCAGCCTCCCCCGGCGCCAACTCCCTGCACCTCCCCTAGAGATCCAGTCCACCGACAACGCAGTCCAGCTCGCCCTCAACGGACTGGTCGACTGCGGCGCCACGTCGGACTTCATCGACTCCACCTACGCCTCCGAAAACCAACTTCCGGTCCGGCAGCTCTCCCAGCCTATCCCAGTCTACAACGTGGACGGCACGCCAAATGAAGCCGGCTCCATCCGACAAGTTGCCGATGTGGTCCTGCGTTACCAAGGACACAGCGAGCGTGTCCAGCTCGCCGTCACTCGGCTTGGCAAGCAGAAATTGATCCTCGGCTATTCCTGGCTTCGGAAGCACAACCCGGAGATCAATTGGGACACCCAGGAGGTAAAGATGAGCCGCTGCCCATCGGGCTGCTCCACCTGCACCGAGGAGTCTCGCCAAGAGAGACGGATAGCCCGGATTTCGGCCCGAGCACTCCGATCAGCCCGACAAGGCCCTGCCCCCTCCATCTGCGTCGTTGATATTGAAGACCGCGAAGACGAGGCTATGCCACTGCTCCAGGAAGACGACGGAGAAGATTCCGACAAAGAAGAAGATTGTCTGGAAACCGGTGACCGTATCCTCTACACCCGTTTCAACCCTTCTGAAGACATCCGAGCCACTAGCACCGTCTCCCAGCGTCTTGCGGAGGCGTTTGCCAAGAACTCTGCCCCCCCTCGGGATTCCATACCCGAGTGGGCGCGTGAGTTCAAGGATGTTTTCAGCAAGGAGTCCTTTGACAACCTTCCGGAACGTCGCCCCTGGGACCACGCCATCGAACTGGTGCCCGACGCAAAGCCAACGAACTGCAAGGTCTACCCTATCTCCCCCTTGGAGCAGAAGCAGCTTGACGCTTTCATCGAAGAAGGCATGGCCACCGGCCGGATCCGACCCTCGAAGTCCCCTATGGCCTCCCCGGTCTTCTTTGTCAAAAAGAAGGACGGCAGTCTACGGTTTGTCCAAGATTACCGGGCACTGAATGCAATGACAGTGAAGAATCGGTACCCCCTTCCCTTAATCAACGACCTGATCAATAAGCTCAAGGGAGCCCGCTTCTTCACCAAACTCGATGTTCGGTGGGGCTTCAACAACGTACGGATACGAGAAGGAGATGAGTGGAAGGCTGCATTTCGGACTAACCGCGGGCTCTTCGAGCCACTGGTGATGTATTTCGGCCTCACCAACTCCCCCGCAACGTTCCAGACTATGATGAATGACATCCTCCAGGACCTCATACTCTCTGGCGACGTCATGGTGTACCTGGACAACATCCTCATCGCGCACTCTGACCTTCACCTCCATCGTCGTATCGTGAACGAGGTCCTCCGACGCCTTCGCAAAAACAAGCTGTACCTCCGAGCGGAGAAGTGCGAATTCGAGATGGAGTCCATCAAGTACCTTGGCGTGATCATCTCCCACAACCACGTCGAGATGGACCCCGTCAAGGTGGCAGGAGTAGCCGAATGGCCTGCTCCCTCTACCAAGAAGGAAGTGCAGCAGTTCCTTGGGTTCACTAACTTCTACCGGAGGTTTATTCGGGACTTCTCCCACGTCGCGCGCCCGCTCTTCGACCTCACCAAGAAGGACGTATCATGGTCTTGGGGCGACAACGAGTCCGCTTCGTTCCAGGCCTTAAAGGATGCAGTCACCTCTACACCGGTTCTTCTCCTCCCAGACTCCTCTTGTCCTTATCGCCTAGAGGCTGATAGCTCCGATTTTGCCACAGGAGCCGTCATCTCGCAGCAGTCCCCCTCGGACGACAAGTGGCACCCAGTCGCCTTCTTTTCCAAGAGCCTTAACGACGTCCAACGCAACTACGAGATCCACGACAAGGAGATGCTTGTGACAATCAACCCAGAAACAAGTCGAAAAGAGAAGTGAATTCGAAGACTGGAGAATACAACCAGGTGGCTACAGTATTTATACCCAAATCCAGTCTGAGTCATATCTACAACTAATGAGTCATAAGACTATGTACCGCATGGAACGCTGGTCATGGGTTGTACTAGAACCTTCCGGAGCATATGTCGCGCAGCCTCGAATCAATGAAGATAATCCCTGGAACCCCTAGTCCGGACCGTCTGATGCCGTGATCCGTGATAAGATAAGTCGTGCCAAGATAAGATAAGATCGTTGATGATAAGATGAAAAAGTGGCCGAACTATGACAATGCTCGCGATTGTGCGTGCGCTGGAGGAGTGGCGGCACTTCTTGGAAGGCGCCGAATACCCCGTGGAAATCTGGACCGACCACAAGAACTTGGAGTACTTCCGCAAGGCCCAGAACCTCAATCGCCGGCAAGCCCGATGGTCGCTCTACTTGTCCCGCTTCGATTTCACGCTCCACCACCAACCTGGCCGGCTCATGGGACGACCAGACGCACTCTCCCGACGCCCGGACCACGGAGCCCCTCGGACAACACAGATGTCACCCTGTTGAGGCCGGAACTGTTCCATGTGCGTGCACTCGAGGGACTTTCCGTCTCTGGCCCGGAAGCCCCGCTTGTCCGTGACATTCGGGAATCGCTTTCCGGTGACCCTGACCTTGAGGAAGCTGTTGCGCTCGTAGCACGACAGCTTCTAAAGGGGATGAAGGGGGCCCGCTCTGCAGTCACAGCAGAGTGGCGTGTCCAGGACGGCCTGCTCTACTTCCGTGGGAAACTGGTGGTTCCGCGCGACAAGGACCTTCGACGACGCATCCTCGAGCAACATCACGACACCCGTGTTGCAGGGCACGCTGGCCGCTTCAAGACGCTGGAGCTGGTCTCTCGGAACTACTGGTGGCCCCAGCTTTCACGACACGTCGGCCGATACGTGGCCACCTGCGACCTGTGCTGTCGGACCAAGGCTCTCCGACGACTCCCCACTGGAGAGCTTCACCCCACAGAGATCCCCTCGGAACGTTGGGAATCGGTGTCGGTGGACTTTATTGTTGAGTTACCGGAGGCGCACGGCTACGACGCTATCATGGTGGTCGTTGACATGCTAGGGAAGCGTGCCCACTTCATCGAGTGCCACACTCGCCTCTCGGCCGAAGGGATGGCTTGGTTGTTCTACAAGCACGTCTGGCGACACCACGGGTTACCTATCAAGTATGTCTCTGACCGCGGCCCTCAGTTTGTGGCGGACTTCACCCAGGAGCTATGGAAGCTGGTTGGCGTTTCCCCTGCCACGTCCACTGCTTATCACCCGCAGACTGATGGCCAGACCGAGCGGGTCAACCAGGAGCTGGAGCAATACCTCCGGATCTTCACCAGCTACAAGCAGGATGACTGGGACGAGCTCCTGCCCGCAGCCGAGTTTGCTTACAACAACCACGTCCACTCCTCGACCCAACAGGTTCCCTTCATGACGGACACAGGACGCTTACCACGCATGGGATTCGAGCCGACAGAGCAGCGCTCCACCCAAGCAGAGTCTGCCAACGAGTTTCTGGATCGGGTCGCATCGGGCGTAACCGAGGCCAAATCAGCACTGGTCAAGGCAAAGGACGAGTACAAGAGGTACTATGACCGACGAAGGACCGCCGCTCCCGACATCAAGGTTGGCAGCCGAGTCTGGCTCGACGCCTCGGACATCACAACAACGCGACCCTCTCGTGGCCTCTCCCACCGACGCCTGGGCCCCTTCAAGGTCACCCAAGTCGTAGGTCAAGGCGCATACAAGCTCGCCCTCCCCACTAGCCTCTCTCGCCTCCACCCTGTCTTCCCCGTGGTCAAGCTCCAGTTGGCCGAAGATGACCCGTTCCCCACTCGCCCGCGTCACGAAGAACCACCCCCTGTCCTAGGACAAGGCGAAGGAGAGGAGTGGGAAGTGGAGGAGATCCTAGACGCAAAGATGCGATACCGGAGTGTCTGGTTCCGAGTGCGATGGAAGGGCTATGACCCATCTCATGACCAGTGGGTCAAGCACTCAGATGTGTTTGCTGACGACGCAGTGGCAGCATTCTACTGCAAATACCCTGGGAAGCCACGTGTCATCGCAGCGGCCGTATTTGACTCGCTGCCCTTCAGGGACTCGTCAACCCCCAACCGTGCCTTGCGTCGAGGCGCCGCAATCAAGAGGGGGGGTGATGTCAGGGGAACCCTGCTTTCGTCCGATCATCCTGGGATCTTGCATGTGACCGTGCACGCGCCATCTGTCAGGCGTCACATGCTTCGGTCCGGACTTCCCTGCCAAGCGCATCCACATGACACTCGGGCCCGGATCCCCATTGTTCCGACGGTCCGGCTCCCATTGTTCTCCCCCGATCCGCCCCTCATTGTTCCCTGGCCCCATTGTCTGGCGCTTCCATTGTGCTTGGTCATCCATTGTTCTGTAGGCTATATATAGTGGGCCCTGACAAGGAGAGTCCCCAACTCGGTTTCTCTTTGGACTCTCCCTTGTCAGGTTTGCCAGTCTCCTGTACTAGTCGATCCCCTTATCTGACGCTTTGGACTCTCCCTTGTCAGGACTCTGAGATCGGGCCTCGAGGTTGCCCTTACAGAATCAACAGATTCTTCCAGGGGCTTTAATCTGTTTTCAGTGAGAAAAGATCATCTTTTCGTTGTCTCTATTTCCAGTTAAAATCGACATCTATTCCCAGTGAGAATCGATTAAAAAAAAGATGATCTATTTACAGTTCTGTTTTCGGGAGGAATAGATGTCTATTTGTGGTAAAAATTGAGCCGTAAATCGACGTCTATTTTCAATATGTATATTTTGTCTGAAAACAGAACAGTGAAAATCGGACTTCTAGATTGTCACGCATTTTCCACGGAAAAAAAATAAGTCCCCCCGCAGTGTCGCAGAGAATAGTTCTACAGTCAATCATCAATACTTGTTCTTACCAGACAATCTCCCAATTTGAGAGTGATTATTGGAGTAGGGGCACGTGACCGCATCACCGCAGAGACACACATGTACACACATCATTAGAGACTAGGACAGACGATTCACTCGGGCCACAGTGCACTCCAGTATGTCATCGGAACGTCGGTCACGATCTTCCTATCACACACCCCTTGGTTGCCATGCCTCAATCAGGAGTCAGGACGGATTATATCATGACGTATCATCTCCATCTGTGTCAAGGACTGCTCTAAGACAGGGGCCGCCGCGCACACTCAAGCATCAACCAACATGTCGTCTCCCCAGCAATTCGTCAACTACGCGCTCGGCGGCTGGGTGAGCTGGGCGTTTTTCCTGTGGGAGGCCGACTGTGCACTGACGGCCATTGCAGGAACTCGCCGTGTGCTCTAGCCTGTTACTGCAAGGCGTGCTACTCGGGCAGACTGCGCGCTACCTCGCCAACGGGTTCCACCGCACGGATCCGACGATCATGCGTGTTTGGGTGGCGGGGCTGCTCGTGCTGTCGCTCGGCCGGAATCTCTTCGGGATGTGCGTTTCCTGCCTGTTGGCGGTGCGAAGCAGACTGAACAATTGTTTGAACTTCGTAGACAGTTGATGTACGAGCAAGATACCGCGCACTATCTCAACTTCCCCGCTGCGCTTGGCGAATGGCTCTCTGCACGATTCGACGCGAGCTTTCTGATTAGCGGCGTACTGGTGTACTACGTGCAGATGTTTTTCTGCTGGCGCCTCTGGGTGTGTTCTCGAGCGCTCCCTATATATATGCTTATGCAAGTTCGTGGTGCAGACGCTGTGTAGACAGATATGGCTGCCATCGGCCTTCGCGTTGCTGTTTTCAGCTGGGCTAGTCTGCTCGATTCTCGCAGTGCCCTTGGCTCATATGAAGCAGCCTGTGCGATGGGGTTCGCGCTTCTCTGCATCTCGCCTTGAGTAAACTCACGACCGAGTCCAGCGGCGGCGTACCTCAGCGTCTACTTTGTCAGCGACTTCCTCCTGTGTGGATCCATGATGTTTTTCCTCCTCGTGAGTGTCTCGACTCCCCACCGTCGCTCTGCTCAGGTCCCCGGCAGCGAGACTCTCGCTCACAGCGCGTGTCGCGTGACACGGCCACCGTTCTGAACGTATTGCGCGGATCACCATCCAGTCGGCGCTGCCCTCCGCGGCGTGCGCGTTGGCCCTCCTCGCGTCATCTCAGAAGAATCCAGACTACGTCGCGGGCAACTCTGCGCTCGCGATCACGGTCGTCCTCACTCAACTGCTGCCCATGTCGTACGCGTACTCGCCATGTGGACGCTGAATGCGCGGAAGGGCATCCGGGCGGAGATGACTCGGTCCCGGGATGCTACAGGTACGGATCAGAGCGGCTGGGGTGCGGCTGCATCGAAAGCGTAGATTGGATATCATGATGGAGATTGGCCTTTCTTGCGACACATATCATCAACTGCACTTGTATTTGTACTGCACTACATATTCTGTATTTCCTCATGGAGTTTTTTTTACCGTATCGGATGGAGGTTGACTGTTCTTGTAAGAGCGTTACCCATTCATCGAGGAGCTCGTGATCTCTTTCGGATGTTTCAGCGCAAGTTACTGTGGATTGAGAGTCGTTCGAAATGTCATTCCCTGTCCCGATCGAGCGTAAATTGCTGCTGTCACTGTCAAACTGGAGCCAATCGTTCATATACTGAGTGGCAGTGCCCCTATCGTAGTCTCTTGTAAGTGTACGAGCTGACCGATGGACCACGTGGGACGGGACCGCCAAGGCTAGTGGATAGGCTACTGAATGACCGAACAAGTCCCGAGCGCAGCGGCTTGTTCGGCACTCAAAAATTTACCGACACACATCACGTCGGAATTTGCGTTCTCCTCGAACAAGGAACTTGGAAAACGTCGGGGGATGAAGTTGCCTTGCCAGCATCCGTCGGCGGCCGCTCGCCAAGCTGGAACTGTGGGACGACTACTTCAGCTTCTCTGTGCTTCTGGCCACCCGAACCGAGGCGACATTTCCCAGGACTCCCTGGGATGCAGAGTCACTGTACCTGCATTCTGCAAAACACCATCTCCACGGTTGCGATGCAGATAACATGCCATCTACTTGTGCCCGACCCTTGGCTACCCAAGTTGGAAGTTGAATTAATTCGGGATACCGATCTCGCCATCAGGAAAATCATTCATTGCGTTCCGATCGAATCCTTCCATTTACGGCTATTCTGGGGTCGCAGAAAAGTCCCACGCGGCCTTCGCGGGCTGCTCACGTCGACTCGTCCGTTCGTTTGTTCGTTCCTACCTCCCCATCTCACGCAGGACGATCCGCCCAGTTTTCCGCTCTCTCTTACTGCGTACTTGCGCGCAGCTTGGTGCTGGGAACCACATCGCGTCTCGGCTAGGCCCGTGCAGCACTCACACACACTCGCGCGCCGGCTTTTCTTCATCCACCCCCCACCTCCACTCGCACGTATGGCCTCCGCACTGGGGTTAGCCTCCATGGTCCCTGCACCCATCGCCACCGCCCTGCCCGCATCCGCGTCGGCGGCCGCCTCTTCCTCTGCTTCTGCTTCTGCCGCTGCTGCAGCCGCCGCTGCCGCAGCAGCAGCCGCAGCAGCCCACGGGGCGCTACCCTCACTTGACAACGCTCGGCGCGGCCTTCATCGGCTTCGCAGTCAGCTGCGTCGCACTCGGCGTGAACACGAACCAGGTGGTGACGTACTTCCACCGGTATCCCGGGGACCGCGTGTTCTACAAGCTTACCGTGCGTCCCGTGGCTCTGTTCTTCTTCCTGATGCGGCGCTTACTCGCTACGCAGGTCGGTCTCATATGGTGCGTCGCTGCCCACGCTGGGCTGCATCGGGTGCACGGTTGACGCGGACGCACGCAGGCTGCTGGGGCTCGCGGACCAGGCGTTCATCGGACACGCTATGTACTTCTACTCTGCATCAAGTGCGTTCTCCCCCTCTCCGTCTAGATCGTCAAGCCAACCTCGCTCGTTCACAGAAACTACGCCAATCCACTCGTCTTCAAAGAGAAGGTCGTGTGGACACTGATTGTGCGTCGTCTGCTCAGATGTGGAGTCGCTTTCTGATAGCAATACCGCCCCAGGCCCAACTTCTTCTCGGAGTACGTCGCCTTCCGTGCACAGAAGCTGATACGAGATATTTACCCCTATCTGCCCCAGGCTCTGATTGGAACGATCGTGCGACTGTGGGTTCCTGTCCCATGTCTGTCTGTCCGTGGACACCTGCTGACTGATCGGACACAGATGTTTCACGATGCGTGTCTGGCGGTGTGAGTTCTCATCTCGCTCCTTGGACTCCGTAGTGATCGCTGAGCTGCCGCTTTGGCTGTCCAGTCAGCAAACGCAACATCTTCGTCACGGGCTTTTTGGTGTGTTCCGCGCCATCTGATATACTGTTCTCCCGTGCTGATGATCCCGAAGGTCGCGTTGACACTCGCGGAGATGGGTGAGTGATGCCGTCTTCGTTTGCGTGTTCTCCGGGTCTTATGGTGTGGTCGTTCCAAGGACTCGCTATTGGTAAGCACATCACACTCTATTTGAGATGATGAGGCTGACTATCAGCCAGTTTTCACTCTCCGGATGTCCGTACTTAACATCTTATTTACGAACGATTACTCACTCCCTCTCAGTTTCCAGAACCCATTCATTAATGTTCTTCCCACTCTCAAAGTATTCGCGCGCGTTTTCCCGGCCTCAAGTGCAAATGTCTGAGAAATCTGTCACAGGTTATCGCTTCTCTGGCATTGGGCGCTAGCGTCATCGTAGACGCAGCCATCGCTGGCGCACTTGCTTTCTTTCTGCGGCAATTCCGCACGGGCCATAAGCGCTCCGACTCACTAGTCAACACTCTGACGATTTACGCAGTCAACACCGGCGCGCTGACAGCCGCCATCAGCTTGTGCACCCTGCTTATCGTACGTATCCGAAGAGCCTTGTTCTGCATACCACGGCTGACTCGAAGACCAGTACGACGAAGACCCGTCGCATTTTATCTACATGTCGTTTTACTTCATCCTGAGCAAACGTGCGGCGTCTCCTCTTCTCTTCTCTTCTCTCCGCACCCAAGCTTACATGTTCCCGCCAGTATACTCGATATCCTTCCTCACGACGCTCAACACGCGCAAGATCATCCGCGGGAAAGGCACTGAGCGGAGCGGCGCGGATCCGACGTCAGGCGGCACGCGCAACCCGCTCAACATCTCGGGTAACCAGTTCTACGTCAACCAGCTGTCACGCGGGAACGGCACCCCCGTCAACGGCGGGCACGGTGCGACCTCGTCGTTCTCTGGCCTGCGGAGTATGGTGGACACCAAGGTCGGTGCAGCCATAACTCGTGATTTTTATCACTCGCGGCTGATGGTAAATTATTCTCAGATGCATATTGGAGTCCACCAGGAGTCAGTGTGGTCTCCGACGTCGACCTCGAGGAGGGGAACAATTTCAACTACGAGATGGCCGAGCGTGAGCGGCAGTATTATGGCCATGCGCGGTAGCTCGTCCAGAAAACCCCGCAACTGTAACAAATATTCCATTCCGAAAGTATCTTACTCATTAACCACAGCACACACTCTTTGTATCTTTCAGCTTTTCTTTCGGGGTTCGATGTATCATTTTAGTCATGCGAGACGCGTTGAGGAACGATTATTCTTCTTTGAATATAACCGTGCATTTCCAAACTTCTGACTGGGCCGTTCGAGCCACTTGCACACGTGGAATGAGTTGATTTTTTTCATGGGAATTAATTAGCAGATCGCGTGTAATGCATTGCTCCGTCCACTGCACAGATGTGGGATTCGATGGTTGCAAAGCTCTGAGAGGCATTTGATCGGGTAGACCAGATCGGGGGCCACCTTCGTCGTACTTGCTTCCTCTCGTTCTTGATCTGGAGTGAGCCATATCGAGAACTGTCAGGGGAGCACGTGACCGACTATGTCTGTGTGCGAACTGATTGTTTGTGCATCCGCGGCTAGAGTGAGAAGCGAGGCAAGCGGGAAAATTCAGAATTCGTATCAAATACGTGTGAACCTTTCGCCAAGTTCAGCTGCGAGGCGAGCTCGATTGACCTCTGGTTCATTGCCGTTCCGGGCACCGATTATCGATTATTTGCGCGGAACGCAGCTGCACAGACAGATCTTGCCGCTGGTCATACTAGTCGCTGAAATTTGCATGTATTATAGAAAAAGTGTGCAACGTGCCTGATAGTCATCAGACAAGTTGACCTGAGATTGATTCATGAACTCATTCGTTGTCTAGGATATATCGCCAACCAAAAGTCCGAGAAAGCTGAACTAAAGATGGGAGCGCCCCAATCTGCCCATCGCTCAAGTGAGCGTGGTCCATTCTGTTTCAAACAAACGTCCAAGCACCAAAAACGACGACCAGCTACAAGCGCAGATTTCAGCGGTCAGTAGCCGGCGTCGTATGCTGCTGCTTTACAAGTGCGTCGACGGGATCTGTCTCAATGTTCAGCAAAAGGTTTCGGCAGACGCCGGACGGATCGGGACCTTGATTTATCCGCGGTGCCTTTTATTGGTAGATACTTCCCACACACACACACTCCTCGCCCCGTCCTTCCGCTCTGCTAATCTGCCGCAGCCATGACCGTCCTGCAAGAATTCACTTTCGAGGCCGAGTCGATCCTGGAGGGCGCGATCCGGAACGCCGAAGACCGAGCTCGGCGCTACACGCTCGAGACGAGCAAGTCCGAGCACGCGCGCGCAGACGACGACAGTCGAAAATCGCGTGGCGACGATCTGCGCAAACATCGACTGGCGCACGCGCAGCTTCAAGATCGGGCAGAATGAGTCTGGGGTGGACGTCATGAAGCGTGCGGGGAGCGCGTTTTCCAGGTGCGCCCCTGTGTGTTGTGCTCTCTCCCCGCTGGAGGTCCGTTGAACGAGTCCCTGTGCAGCGTGAGATACTGGAGGTGGCTCGGGGCGAGGAGTACCAGCTCAAGTACTCCAACTCGGCGGATGCGTGGACGGTGCGTCGGGTTCGTCTCTCGTTTCGGCTTGCGCAATTTGGGTTCCGGGCTCACAGCTTGCAACAACAGGTGTCGGACGCGAACGGAACCGTTCTCGCCGAACTCAAATCGTCCATCTCACCTATCTTCGGCCAGACGTCGCTGCCCCTACTACGTATCAGCCCGACCGTGCGTAGCGAGGAGGAGCGCCTATTCTTTCTGCTCGTATTGGTGTACTCTGAGACCAAGAGGCTGGATAGACAGGGTTGATGAAAGTGCTCAGATCTTGGTGTATTTCGTCCATGGAGAAGATAAGCAGCGTCTCCTCAGGGTGCTACATTGCGAATATACGAACGAACAGCTCGTGACGACCGTAACAAACTACTTGTCATATACTCGTGATGCCTTGATAGAAATGCAACGGCCAACGGTCGTCGTGTTACTTCTGCGCTTGGACAGTATTCGTCTCATTGCCCGCATGATGTCAGGAATGCCAATCGTCAGTTTCTCGGTAACCTTCAACGGCGACATTCAGACAATGGTCTGTAGTCAATCCAACGACATAAAGGTCGCTGACAAGAAGCAGTTTTAGATAGGCTTCGAGATCGCTCCGCAGCACATGTACCTGTCAAAAGCCCGCTTGGACATCGCTGGGTCTGCCAGCTGCTAAGAATTCATCGCATCAAATGGATATGATTGACAAGGGAACATAAAAGAAGGGTCGATGTACGTAAGTAAGAGGACGTCAACCTGAATTCGATACACGGGCACGCGAGGAGTGAAAATCACAACTGGCGTTTGCGAATAAAGATCCCCGCGGACCCATTCGGCGCCGAAATCATTCCATGGTCGTCATTGGCAGGGCGAACACCAGGCACCTCGGCTTTGATATCGTAGTTGATGAGGATGTGGGCCAACATGGCCTTGATCTCGGTAGCAGCGAAGAACCGGCCGGGGCAGGCGTGCCTGCCGTGCCAAAGGCGAGGTGCTCAATGCTGGTCGTAACCATGTGGCTGTTGAATATCCCTTCCTCGACGCTGTGATTGTCGGCCTTAGCCTCCCGAAGATCGGAGTAACGGAACCATTGAAGACTTCCGGGTCCTTGTGAATAGCTGACCCTAGTTAGTGGCGATGGAGAACAAGCAGATTGGTTTGCTTACTCGGATCGTAGTGAACGGTTTTGCCAGGGACAAAGATGAGTGAGCCGTAAGGGATTTTGATACCGTCGGAGAAAGTGAAACCATCGGGATGAATGACTTTACGGCTCATCGCCACTACAGTGGTTCAGAACGCAGAATGGTCGTCTCTGACAGATACGGTGCATACCAGGTCCGTTCCCCTGCATGCGCTGGGTCTCTCTGATGAAACTGTCGATCTTGTGCATGCTGTTGAGAGCCGATTTGGTCCAGCCTTCCGCCCTGATCACGTTCTCAGCCTCTTCACGCATCGGTTCAAGGTATCCCGGCGCGAAGTGATATCGAACAGAGCGTGGGTGAGCGCCTAAAGAATAACGTTAAATTCCGTCGACTCCCCCAACGACACACAAGCGCACCATCGAACTGGTGTGAATAGCAGCCATATTAAGGGCAAGAATGCGAGCAGCAATGGCTCAGGGTGTCTTCCCTCAGGACCGGCAGATTCCAGCAGCCAGGAAATCAAGTCATTCTGTTCAAATTTAGCGGACAGAGAAGTCAAGGATGATGCGGGAGCGTACCGGTTTGCCTTCGTAGTTGGGACCGAGCGCATCTTCCTTGGCAATGCGCTCTTCGATTATGGAGCCCACGAATCCCAGCATCTCCCGCAAACGTTTCATTCTGGTCACAATGAAAGGCGCGACAAGCCTAATGAAACATTCAATTGCGAGGCAAAAAAGGATCTGAGCTCGAGCTCACGGCTTGAGAAATTCGGGCCAGGCACTCAGTTTTTCGCCGCGTTAACGATCTCAATGGTGTTCATCACGGTCAAGTTAAGTACGTTTCGTTTCGGCCTGCATAGATGGGTCAAAAGGAGTTGCACGGCGTTGTGGAACTGCCCCTTACACAATGGCAATCCCACAAAGAGGCGATTGCTGGTTCGAGAAACGACCTTCATCATAGCGGGTATAACCGGGACGAGCTTCCAATCTGTCGTTGGGTCAGAGTGCGAAACAGTGTGATTAGGAACTGAAACAGACCGTCGTCATGCAGCGCAAAGACATCGTCCATTGCGCACTCGATTTCGTCCCTGACCTCCGGGAAAACCTTTCCCAAGTTGCGGGTCAAACTCGTCCGAACGGCGATGGTGTGGAACGAGTTTTTAATCAGCTCGGTACCCATGGTGTATTTGATCTGGATCGCCTGTAGCAGTCTGAGCAAAACATGGCGCAAGAAACAGTATTTTAATTAGACTCACATCCCCGATCCCTCATCAAACGAGAGAATTTCTGAGGCGGCCGCGCTAACTTCCTTGACTCGCTGGGGGCTTGTGACGACGTAGTCCCCGCCAGCGACGCGGGATCCGGAAAACGCCGTCCTTGAGCTCGTCGTAGCCAGTCTGGATAACCTCCATTGGCTGCTCCTCGAAGTAGTGAGCAGCCTTCAGCGAATCGATCCAGCCCCCGAGCCAATAACAGCGGGTACGGGACTCTGCAGAGAAAAATCAGGCGACGACGGGAGACCCTCGAGATTGCTAGACGACACACCTTCTGATTGAGCCTCTTCACCAACCAAACACCCGCGAAGGGGAGAACAGCGACCAGCCATAAACCGCCACCGTGATGTGTCTAAGTTGCTCATGATAAAGTGGCGC